ATATGGCATTTTCCAAATGTATGTGGCCAATAAAAGGGAGGCTTTATGGTAATTTATTAGATTTCCTATATGACTACTATGAGAAGACTACACAGGTAAAGTAAAATGCATTTTACTGTAGGCTGAAATAATTTTAGTTCTGTGTGACAGATAACTTAGGTTTCCTCATACTGATTAGAAGTTCTCAATAACAGTTCTATAAGTTTTGATTAATTAAAATATAATAATGAATTACAATATAATTAATTAAAATGAATAATATAAGTTTATTTCAAAAGGTAAGGTGCATGAGATGAAAGGAAGAATTAAAAAGAAGTATTCTTCACAGTGAAAATGGTTAGAAATGACTGATATTCCCAAAAGGATATCAAAGCTCCAAAAAATGGCTATAACTACAAAAGGCCATGAAACCTTTTTCACTAATTATTTGTACTTGACAGATCAACTCAGGGATCCTTACACTTTTCTATTTATTTATTTATTTATTTATTTATTTATTTATTTATTTATTTAATTTATTGGGATGACACTGGTTAACAAAATTATATAGGTTTCGGGTGTACAATTATGTAAGACATCATCTGTATGTTGTATTGTGTGTTCACCACCCCAAACTGGGATCCTCACACTTTTCCACTGAAGTAACGCATGATTACAAAGGAGAGTGACTACATAGCATCTACCTGGCACATAGTATTTACACCTTACATATATTTTGTGTTCTAAGCATATAAACTGTTTCCACACGAAAAATGAAAATAACAATGTTACTTCAGGGTTAGTAAGTGTAATTGTATGAGTTAACATCTGTTCAATACCTAGCACAGTATACATAGTAGATACCCAAAATGGAATCAAAATCTGAAATGTTTCATTATATTTTTACAGTAACCTTCTAAACAGATAAAAGACATACTATTTCTTCCTTAATAAAGTGAAAAAAATTAAGTTTAAATAAATTAATGGTCCTCCCCCCAAAATATTTAATATGCAGAAGAACTACTTAATATTATTTAACCATATTCTTTTAAAAGGAAATCAGTATTAATTGCCACTAAGAATATTACTCCTGTATCACTGTAATTAGGTTTCTTAAAGACAAATTAGAATAGACACATCTAATCAAATGACCAAAAGATTACATGCACTCACTTTGACACTTCCACTTTTAGTTCCATTTCATTCTTCTCTAATTCTAGAATCCGTTGTCTATCAGCATCACTTACTGTTTTGCTCACACTACCAGCTAGTTCATCTCTTAACATCTGTTCCACCTTCTGTGCTTCCAAGTTTATTTTGGTAAGCTAAGAAAAAATAACAAAAAAATATTCAGATATATCAGCTTTTGAAGAGATTTTCCCTTTATTGCTATTTTTTAAATTTATCTTTATTGTTAAAAGTATTACAGATGCCTCTTTTTCCCCATTGACCTCCTCCATCGTGTACCCACCACCACCCCAAAAAGGTTTTCCTTTTAATTTAGCTTTAGCATACTGCAGTCCTCTTTACTTTGCATTAGTCCAGATACTGAATTGAGTGTGAGGTATTAAGAATAGATTGAAAAGGGTAAAGAGGGAAAGAGTCAGAAACAAATTATGCAAACTCTGATTATATACCAACCCACACAAAGTCATTTATGTTAGGCAGCTCACAACCCAATGATATCAGAATTTCTGATATTCTTAATTTGCTAGGAATGCAGTACACTCATTATATTTTACTTTAATTATATAACCTATAAATAATCTAAATGAGTTAAAGTCTTAATATATATTTAGTGACAGTAAAATAAACAACACCATGCTTTAAAAATTATACTAATTCTCAAGGTAAAACAAATGTTACATGAATGCTACTTCATCATAAATTGCTGAATTTTTGTAAACTGTATTTATTGTCATCCACTTTAATTATTCTGAACATGTCAAAAAAGTCTAAAAACTCATATTAGAATATAGTCTCTGAGAGCATGGACTGCTGTTTGCGGTATTTTGTTTCCTGCTATAACTCCAGCCCCTATGCAGTGTCTGGAATGAAATAGGCACTCAATAAATATTTGTTAAATGAATGGGTGGAAAGGCATTCCATTATTAAGCAAATAAACTTTTTTGCATATTAAATCTAATCATGTAATGCTAGTGAGAAATAAAAACTCATTCACAAAAATATTTCTTTCTTTATAAACATTTAAAAACATCTTTTATTTTTATCCATTACATAAAACACAAGCACTATATGAATATGCTACTTCAGAGATACAAACAAACCTCTTAAATAATACAATGTCTACCATGACTAATTCCTTATTTTCCAATTACATGATAAAAACGATAACATCGAACCTCAGCAAATTTGGTTTCCAATTCAAAATTACGTTCTTCCATTTGTTTTAATGAAGTCTTTATGTGTTCATACATTTTCTGAGAATGTTCAGCCCGCTGCCTTTCATTTAATTCCTTCATCTCTAGCATAGTGATTTTTTTTGAAATAGAAGCAATCTCACTGTTGGTTATTGATTTCTTTGTCTTATCCATGTTAGATTCATTTCCTGTATACAACAATATTTAAGTTAATATTATCAAAATTATATTCTAGATATTTTAGACATTATGTTCAAGGGATAACACGAGGCTTTTAAATTATGACAGATCCAGATTCCAGTCATAGCTCTATTATTTTCTGTCTACCTGCTGCCTATCCCATTTAATCTCTCTGGAATTTACGTTCTTCGTCATTCAAATGATAACAAAAACTATTCCTCGTCCTAACCGGTTTGGCTCAGGTGATAGAGAGAGCTTCAACCAAGGACTGAAAGGTCCCAGGTTAGATTCCAAAGAAGGGCACATACATTAGTTGCAGGTTCAATCCTTAGCCCTGGTTGGGGTGCTTGTGGGAGGCAGCCAATTGATGTGTCTCTGCCATCAATGTTTCTTTCTCTGTCTCTCTCCCTCTCTCATACTCTCTAAAATCAATAGAAAAATATTCTCAAGTGAGCATTAATAAGAGAAAAAACTCCTCATGGAATTATTGAAATGTAAAAGGTATACTGTAGATGGTGTCACAGGCAGAGAATCAAAAAAGGGAAAATACGTGTATTTTGTAAACTAAAAGGAGAAAAACTGTATAAGAAGCAACTCAATAAAACAACACTATTTTGTGAATATAAATGCAGTGACTTTATTTTAAAGTCTCATGGAGTCCAACTGAAAGTAAAATACGAAGCCATATGATTTAGGGATCTCACCAAATATCTTCTTTAACTATGAGTATTACTTGGCCTTTGTAAATATTGAATATCAAATATTTTAAATTATTGTATTGGTTATTAATCTCATCAATATTATAGATACATATATGCATATTTGTATATCTAAGATTATATAATACATATATGATATGGCTTGTCTTTGGACATAAAAGTCTGTGGTTAAATCAAATGAGAACAAAATAAAAAAAAATTTACCATGAGAAGTCATCACATAGGATTACCATTAGTTACTTAGTTGTTTTCTGAAAAGGAGAAAACTAATACTTTTGATTTGCATAACCCATATACTCCAGAAAACCCAACATCAACAAACTCCTGGATAATAAAACCTAATAAAGTGACACTTTTAAACAAAGATATAACAACAGAGACAATAATATCTGCTAGATATACATGAAGATGTTCACTGTAGCACTACAAGCAATAACAGAAATGAGAAAAGCTAGTGATGTAATCACTCGAACACAGAAAGGTACTACATAAACATTTATAAGTATAATGAATAAAACATAGCAATAGTTTGACATCTACTAAATAAATATAGTGTATGTTTATTATAATTTAATGTGCAATATTTAAGTGTACACAAGGTTATACAAAAAATTATAATATAGTAGTGGAACTATGGGTAATATAAATTTAATTTTTTGATGCTATACAGTAAGCTTGTATCTTAAAAATATTAAATGATCTATTCCTAATAAAATTTTATACATAGTGAAAGAACTCATATTACTCTCATTAAAATACAGGTATTTCAAAATTATCACCAGTATTCACTGTTAAATGGTTCAAAACAGAAAATGCTGTTTTTTTAACATATGATTTTATTTGGAACAAATCTAATTTTATAACTAAAAACCAAATTTTGGTAGAGTTTAGTCCAAGATATTATTCAACTGCCTGCTAAATTAAACTGTAACATAGAGAATTCACTTTTATCAAAATACTTCCTTTCCATGTGGTATAGAAAAAGAACTTTAAGTGCAAAATATTCTCTATTAGATCTTAAATCATTTTATATTATTAGAGTCATAGCACTTACCTAATTTAGTTTCTTTTTCCCAGGCTTGTTCAATAGTGTGAAGTTTTTCCTTAGTAATCTCTAGTTCTTTACTTATAGACTCTATTTGCTCTTTTAGAGATGCATTTTCACACTGAATAAAACAGAAACATCACTGAGAAAATACATTATAATTCAGACTACTACCACAAAAATGACATTATCTCAACTTTATATAATATCTCCTAAAACTTACAATCCAGTTATTTTTTTAAATAAAATTAGAAGTTCTCACACATTAGGTTTATACATATTCTACATAATAAAACCCTAATATGCAAATGGACCAAAGGGCGGAACGACCAGTCGCTATGATGTGCACTGACCACCAGGGGCAGATGCTTAATGCAGGAGCTGCCCGCTGGTGGTCAGTGCGCTCCCACAGAGGGAGCACCACTCAGCCAGAAGCCGGGCTCACAGCTGGCGAGTGCAGCAGTGGTGACTCTGCTACAGGCGAGCGGTAAGGAGCGAGGGGTCCTGAACTGCGAGAGGGTGCAGGATGGCTGAGGGACACCCCCCCACCCCCCCAGTGCATGAAATTTTGTGCACCGGGCCTCTAGTATAATATAAAACATTATTTTAAAATAATCAAAATCTTGTATATCAAATATGTGGCCCTAGAGGCTGCCATGTACCTTTGGTTAAGCTAGAATACTCACAGCTTCAAAACCTTCACACACTAGAGCTTTCTTCCCTCATTCACACAAATAGTCACCGAGCATCCCTAGCATGTTATCAGTGAAGGTACTATATGTTAATGGTAAAGAGAAACAAAAAACATGTTGGCCTTCAAAGGCCTGAACTTTGGTGTCTGTGGGTATGTATGTATGGCAGGAATTGGGAAGGATGTGTAAGACGGCAGACAGTAAACAGGTAAGCAAACTAACAACAAATCATTTAAAATGTCAAGATCTAGAAAGAAACAAAGTATGGACCCAGGGAATAATAAAAGGAGGCATATCTAGACAGAGTGGATAAAGAAGGTATTAACCACTGAAGAGGTGGTTTTTAAGTTGAAACCGAAGACATGAGAAGGGGTCAGTCTTGACAAGAAAGCAGCCATAGAATGAAATGATATACTGGTGAACCCAAGTGCTCTAAAGCAGGAAAGAAAGATGTTGAAGTGCCAGAGGACTTGAGCATAGTGAGAAAAAATAAGAGTGAAGAGTGGAATAAGATAAAGTTGGAAAAATAACAGGGGGATATACGCACAAAAAATAAAGAGAAAAAATAAAAAAAAAATAGCCCAGCCTGTGTGGCTCAGTGGTTGAGCACCAACCCATGAATCAGTCACTGGATTAATTCCTGGTCAGGGCACATGCGGTCTCAATCCCCAGTATGGGGAGCACAGGAGACAGATGACTTACATTTCTCTGTCATTGAAGTTTCTATCTCTCTATCCCTCTCTCTTCCTCTCTCTCTAAAATCAATAAAAATGTACTTTAAAACAATCAAAATAAAACAAATGAAAAAAAAAAAGAACAACAACAAAAAGATAACAGAGCATGGTATGCCAAGATGACGAACTGGAATTTAACTTAATAAATAAAAGGGAATCATTTAAAATGTTAAGGAGGAAGTTTTACACAATTCCGGGATGCAATGTAGAGAATAAAGGGGTAAACAGAAAAATCAGAAATTAGTCAGGAAGATACTATAAAGTCCAGATGAGTGATGATGCTGGTTTAGACTAGGGTAATAGCAGTACAGAAGGAGAAAAGAGGACATACATGAATTAATTACATTTGGGAAATAAAAATGATAGCAAAAACAGTGACTAGAGAACAACTGTAAGGTATCTGCCTTTAACTAACTGAGCTCCTAATATGGCATATACATATTGAAACAGGAATGACTATGAGAAAAATAGACATCAGGAGTTCATTTTGGATACATTAAATGTGAGACCCCCTTGAAATATTAGTTGTAAAGTGGTAATTTCACACAGTAGAAGGCAGCTTTGAAGTCGGGCTGGAGACATAAAAGTAGAAGTTGGCTCATAGTCTATTTTAAGCTTATTTATTCTTTTTTTTTTAACGGATAAAATGCCTACTATATGCCAGGTATTTTACGCACTAGACATCAATGGTAAACAAATCCCATCCTAGAATTTGCATTTTAGTGAAGCAGTTGGACAATAAGCTAACATATAACACAACTAGAGGCCCGATGCATGAAATTCGTGCAAGGGGCTCGGACCTCGCAGCCCTGGCTTTGTCCAGAAGGACGTCTGGAAGGTCATTTGGCTGTCCAGTCTAATTAGCATATTATGCTTTTATTATTATAGATGTCAGGTCAACATATTTTTGAAGAACATTAAAGTAGAATAATGAGATTTTTTTTTAAAGGGTATCTACACTAATAAAAGAGAAACATGGTAATTAGCGTACGACCGCTACCCTTTTCATTGGCTAATCAGTGAGTATATGCAAATTAACTGTCAGCCAAGATGGCGGACGGCAGCCAGGAAGCGAAGCGAGCA